GTCTTTTTATCCAGCTTGCCATTCTGTCTTTTAATTAGGGCATTTAGCCTATTTACATTTAAAGTTAATATTGTTATGTGTAAATTTGATCCTGTCATCATGATGCTGACTGGTTATTTTGCAGGCTTGTGAATATACTTGCTTCATACTATCATTGGTCTCTGTACTCCAGCATGTTTTTGTAGTGGCTGGAAATGGTTTTTCCTTTCATATTTAGTGTTTCCTTCAGGAGCTCTTGTAAGGCAGCCCTGGTGGTGACAAATTCCCTCAGCATTTGCTTGTCTGTAAAGGATTTTATTTCTCCTTCATTTATGAAGGTTAGTGTGGCTGGATATGAAATTCTGGGTTGGAAACTCCTTTCTTTAAGAATGTTGCATATTGGCCTCCAATCTCTTCAGACTTGTAGGGTTTCTGCTGAGGGGTCTGTTGTTAGTCTGATGGCTGTCCCTTTGTAGATGACCTGGCCTTTCTCTTTGGCTGCTCTTAACATTTTTTCCTTCATTTTGGCCTTGGAGAATTTGATTACGTGTCTTGGAGTTAATCTTCTCATGGAGTATCTCACCGGGGTTCTTTGGATTTCCTGAATGTGAATGTTGGTCTGTCTTACTAGGTTGGAGAGGTTCTCCTGGATGGTATTTTGAAGTATGTTTTCCAACTTGCTTCCATTCTCCCCAACTCTTTCAGATGCTCCAATCAGTCATATGTTCGGTCTTTATACATAATCCCATAGTTCTCAGAGGTTTTGTTCATTCCTTTTCATTATTTTATCTCTAACCTTGCCTGAATGTCTTATTTCAGCAAGATAGTCTTCAGGCTCTGAGATCCTTTCCTCTACTTGGTCTATTTGGCTATTGATACTTGTGGTTGAATTGTGAAGTTCTTTTGTTGTGTTTTTCAGCTCCATCAGGTCATTTATGTTCCTCTCTAAACTGGTTATTCTGGTTAATAGCTCCTGTAATGTTTTATCATGGTTCTTAGCTTCTTTGCATTGGGTTAGAACATATTCCTTTAGCTCAGCAAAGTTCATTATTACCCACCTTTTGAAGACTACTTCTGTCAGTTCATCCATTGCAGTCTTACCCCAGTTCTGTGCCCCCACTGGAGAGGTGCTGCAATCATTTGGAGGAGAAGAGGCACTCTGGCTTTTTGAGTTTTCAGCATATTTGCATTGATTCTTTCATATCTTCATGGATTTTTCTACCTTTGATTTTTCAGGCTGCTGACCTTTGGATGGGGTTTTTGTGGGGTCTTTTGTTGATGTTTTTGTTGCTTTCTGTTTATTTTTCTTTTAATGGTATGGCCGAACTTCCATAGGGCTGCTGTGGTTTACTGGGGGACCACTCCAGACCCAGTTCAGCTGGGTCCCTCCTGCTCTTGGAGGTATCACCAGCAGAGGCTGCTGAACAGCAAAGATGGCTGCCTGCTCCTTCCTCTGGAAGCTCCATCCCAGAGGGGCACCAAGCTGATGCTGGCCAGAACACTCCTGTATGAGATGTCTGGCAACCCCTGTTGGGAGGTCTCACCCAGTCAGGAGGCACAGGATCAGGGACCTGTTTAAAGAAGCAGTCTGGCTGCCCCTTGGCTGAGCAGGTTGGGCCGTGCTGGGGAGAATCCCCCTCATCTGGACTGCCAGTAGGTGGGAAAGACTAGGTCCCCCAAACTGTGAGACTCTGGCCACCCCTCCCCTCAGGGGCTCCTTCCCAGGGATATCAGAGTCCTGTCTGAAAACCCCTGGCTGGAGTTGCTACAATTCCTACAGGGAGGCCCTGCTCAGTGAGGAGGGATAGATCCAGGCTCCACCTAAAGAAGCTCCACCTAAAGAACGATCTGCCACAGCCACTGTGATGTGCTAAGGGGAATTCCTCTCAGTTCAAACCACCCGGTCTCCCTGACACCAGCAGGGCAAAATGGCCAACTGGAGTTGCAGTGACGGTGAATGGCCACCCCTTCCCCAGGAACTCGGTTGTCTTAGGCATTGTCCAGCCTGCCGCCACTGGTTGCAACCCAAGCAGGTGGCACAGCTCTGTGCCTGGAACCAAGGGCCCTCGTGATGTGGGCTCACAAGGGGATCTTCTGATCCACAGGATGCATAGATCCATGGAAAAAGCATGGTTTCCCAGATGGGTCAGCACAGTCACTCACCGCCTCTCTTGGCTGGGTGTGGGTGATGAAGCAGGATTCACTCACTGTTTTCATTCTTCTCAGTGGGAGCTGCTGACTGGAACTGCTTCTATTTTTTTTTTTTTTTTTTTTTCCGAACAGAGTTCTGCTCTTGTTGCCCAGAATGGAGTCCAATGGCACAATCTTGGCTCACCACAGCCTCCGTCTCCTGGGTTCAAGTGATTCTCCTGCCTCAACCTCCTGAGTAACTGGGATTACAGTCATGCGCCACCATGCCTGGCTAATTTTGTATCTTTAGTAGAGACAAGGTTTCTCCATGTTGGACAAGCTGGTCTCAAACTCCCGACCTCAAGTAATCCGACGGCCTCAGCTTCCCAAAGTGCTGGGATTACAGGTACGAGCCACCACACCTGGCCTGGAGCTGCTTCTAATTGGCCATCTTGGCTCCTCTCCCTCCATCCACCCTATTGACTCACAGTGAGCCTATGTTAATTTAAAATACTGTCTCTTAAAAATCTTGTGCTACTCTTACACTAATACGTCAGCACTGGTGTTTCTGTGCTTGTGCTTGTTCTTTTTCACCTACCAATGGCAGCACAGATAAAGAGTCAAGTGGTCATGTATCTTATAGGTAACATATAAGGGCAACAGTGGATTTGGAAACACAGGAACTAAACTTACTTTCTAAAGTTAAGTCATTGTATTGGCAGAAAATTGATCCATCACCTCAAAGACAAGGACTAAATCTTAAGCCAAAATTAACTTAGCTGAAACTATTAAAATATCAAAAGAAAGAATGGCAATCAGTCATGAAGGCATATGAGGGAGTTGAAGAGGCAAACTCTGGCACTGCTTGGCCAAATAAGAAAGTACCTTTTTTATTATTAGGTAGGTCCAGACATCCTGTCAGCCAAGCAGATGGACACATTCATATTGTGATTGTCAGAAACTACAGCCAGTTTGCATTCTGATCAAAGTCTCCTTGGGCTGATTCTATCCTCTACAGTCAACATTATACTAATCAAAACTTATTCAGAATATGTGTATAAGAATATTATCTATATTTGGTCAACCTCACTGTTACATCTTTCATAATTTAAAAAAAAAAATTGGCATCTGGTTTTGTATGTGAGATGGTAGTGAGGATTGTCAATGTGAGTTTGAGTCCCTGAGATATTGACCAGATCATGCAAGACAGTGGGCCATCCCCCTATCTCATATGGAAAAACGGAGAAAATGCCACCCTCTGGGATTTCTTGGCAAGCAAAAAAACTAGACAGTTCTCCTGGAAACGCTGTGGCATTCTCCCTCTGTCTGGTACTTCCTCCTCGAAGCAATTTTAGGTATGAATGTCAGCCCTCCTGCTTACTAAATGTGATCAAGTTATTTACACTTTCTGACATTAGTTTCCTCATACTTAAAATGAAGAGAATAACAACTTGACAAGCTTGTTGTAACGAGTAAAAGAGTTAATAACGTATAGATAATGCCTCACTTAGAGTGAGCACTGAGTAAATGATGGCTATTACTATTTTTAAAATCAATGTTCTTCCCAGATTCATTATGTCATGTAGGACAGGATAAAGCATGAATTCCTAGAGCATAGGCAACAATTGGACACATATCTGCTAACCAGTAGTTGTTTAGTCTTTCTGCTAATTACAAATACATTCAACTGTACCACCACCATGACCACATTTTTCAAGTATGTCCCATGACATCATAAAATATATCTTCCAAAAAGACAAAAAGCTTTGTTAAATTTTGAATACATTATAAGCTGGGCACAGTGGCATGTGCCTGTAGTCCCAGTTACCCAGAAAGCTGAGGCAGGAGGATTGCTTGAGCCCAAGAGTTCAAGACCAGCATGGGCAACATAGTGAGACCACCCCATATCAATAAAAATAATAAATACATACATCCATATATACACTGTAGCCATACAGTTGTCTAGCTTACCACTTTAATAAACTATCTGTATGATATGTTTTTAACAAACCCCCTATTCCCAATGATCACTACACCCTGTCTTAACGGTTCACAGGGTATCATTTCTTTCTTTTTTTTTTTTTTTTTTTGAGACGGAGTCTCGCTCTGTCACCCAGGCTGGAGTGCAGTGGCCGGATCTCAGCTCACTGCAAGCTCCGCCTCCCGGGTTTACGCCTTTCTCCTGCCTCAGCCTCCCGAGTAGCTGGGACTACAGGCGCCCGCCACCTTGCCCGGCTAGTTTTTTGTATTTTTTAGTAGAGACGGGGTTTCACCATGTTAGCCAGGATGGTCTCGATCTCCTGACCTCGTGATCCGCCTGTCTCGACCTCCCAAAGTGCTGGGATTACAGGCTTGAGCCACCGTGCCTGGCCCACAGGGTATCATTTCTAACCAACACAAGAAACAGTGTCGAGTTCACGAGGTGTCTCTTATAAGCTATCCCTTCCTCTAAAGAAATAAGAACTTTTTCCTATCTTGAATTGTGTGGATACTGTGGTTTGGTTTACTGAACTTCCTATGACTCTTTTATGTCATACCTTCCTATATTAAAGATACTTCAGAGTTAAGTGTACAATTCCCAGAAGCTTTTGCAGCTAGCACTCTGGATTCCAGTAAGATCCTGCAGATGCACCTATGAGCGATTTGTAAGGCAGAAGTGAGGATGATCAGCATCTTCTGACATGTCTTGTTTGAGAAGCAAGGTCTTGTGGAGATGTGAGGTTTTCTTCTGAAGCAGTAATTCATGTCATTCTCCAGATTCCTGGTTAAGAGGAGGAGTGGCCCCAATGAACTCCAGGTTCCATTCCCTTGTTCACAGCATAATAGAGCAGCCATGGCAACAGTAAGTGCATAGTTCCAGTTCTATGATTTCCTAATCTCAGCTTTGATAGTATGTTCTGGAAATCTGATGGTTCTAGGATACTCTCAGAGGTGGGAGCTCCCTGGTGATTCAGCTCTTGGTTGTCTGGGAGTCATTCAAGGTAGCCCAGAGTACAGCCCACTTCTCCAGGCCTTCCTGTAATTTTACAGACACCCATTTACAGCATTCAATCTCTGTCTGCTTAAAATGCTGCTGTCTTCCTCCGTGAACCTTGGCTGACACTTCAATCTTCCCCATTTTCTGTAATTCCTCAGTGATTACTGGCAGAAGTTTAGCAAATACATCTGCAAATTGGCATCATTGATGCTGTACAGTCACAAATTCATGTCTGAAAGTTTTCTATTACTCTTGAGTCATCTATTTTTTCCAAGAATCTTGGTCTGTGGAATCTTACTTTTTTTCTTTCAGCATTTTTTTCTTTCTGCTATCTTTATGCAGGTAAAAATGGAGATAAGTCTTTATGAAGATTTTTCCAACAATTCTCCAGCCACACTGCTGAAGATTATCCAGCAACTTCTTGGCATACAGTACCAACACACCTCCGCTTCTACCAGGTTTATTCCTCAAAGAGTGATAGAGCTTTCTGCTGTTATACTCCTGTCATTTAATTCAGTTTGATGATGCTATGAAGCTATGTTTACCTCCTTGTATGTATTTATATAAATACACATACACACACACACACACACACACACAAACACACATACACACATCACTGAACACAAATCTTGTTCACAATATATTTATCAGGTATTTTTTTCTTCTGACAATTGCAGACAACCTCTTACACAAATATTCTTCTTCCTAAGTCATAATCATTTATTTGACAATTTTTCTTGTTCCTCTTTCCCTTTACATTTAAAATGTTTGTAATCATATTAAATATTCATGGGGGAAATCCCTAAGCATTATTGTAGCATCTTAAACATCTTAAATAATAGCCTGGCAAATCAAATTCTTTAATAAGAATCACGTTTTTGAACCTGCCAAATTCACTTCTGCCTTGGGATTCTGCAATTGTTCCTCCTGCCTGGAATGCTCTTCTTGCATCTTCACTTGGCTAACCCCATTTGTGATTCAGATTTCAGCCCAAATATTTTCTCCTCAGAGAGGCTTTCTTTAGTTTTCCCATCAAAAGTCAACAGTTGATTTTTTTGGTTAATTATTTTGTCATTGAATGGTTTGTACAAATTTGGTTATATTTTTGGGAATACTTTCGATTACAAGTAACGTAATTCTGAATAATAATAACTTAGTAATAAAGATATCCATTATATCATATAACAAAGTATAAAAGTAGGCTTATCTAGGTTTCAGGATGCACTGTGATTTTTGAGGACCCTAAGCACTTTTGTCTTCTGATTTTCTGCAAATTGGTTCTCAGCATGTTGGGAATAAAAAGCCAATAGGGCCGGGAGAGGTGGCTCCTACCTGTAATCCCAGCACTTTGGGAGGCCGAGGCGGATCACGAGGTCAGGAGTTCGAGATAAGCCTGGCCAACATGGTGAAACCCCATCTCTACTAAAAATACAAAAATTAGCCAGGCGTGGTGGCACGCACCTGTAGTCCCAGCTACTTGGAGGCTGAGGCAGGAGAATTGCTGGAATCCGGCAGGCGGAGGTTGCAGTGAGCCACTGCATTCTAGCCTGGGAGGCAGAGCAAGACTCCATCTCAAAAAAAAAAAAAGAAAAAAAGCCAATAATAGGAAAACTCTATTAATGTATCCAATGTATCCAAGGGCAGTGGTGTACGTGCTGTGATGCATGAAGATTCAGGAATAAAGGGCTTATTATGCCAGATGCGAGGTATGCTGCCAGCAGATAGCCTCTCAGCTCTTAGCCCCCTTTGAGGATGACCTCAACTGAAGAAAGCTGCCTAACCTAGCCTACACACTCTTCATAGGTAGCCTTCATTCAATGACTGATGAACATGGGGTTATAAAAGCTTGGTCACTTTACCCCAATTCAGTACAGTTGCTAAGGCTCATTACCTCTTCAGAACTACCAATAGGGTCAGCAGAGGCATCTATTGAGATTGTATTGCAGCTGAACTTCTGCCTCTATTTTCTTTTTCCATAGGTGTTGGCCCCCAAAATACTTCCTAATAAATCTCCTGCATGAAATCGCCATCTCAAAGTGTGCTTTCTGGGGAATGCAGTGTTTGGTAAACAGTAACTCATGGCTAAATACAGCAATATGCTCTGGAGTTCACCTGGATACTTCTCTAGACAAAAGGCAGGTCCAGTTATGGATAAACATCACTAGACATCAAGAAAAGCTCAACATCAAGAAAAGCCATTTCACCTATGTAACCAACTAACCTAGATGACCAAGCCTAGTTATAGAGTTTTCATTCGAAATCACTTTGTGCTTGATAGACACTGAATTGAAGCAAACACAGCAAGTGGGTCTCACAGCCAATCCCTCAAAGACAGTATCAAAAGCAGCAACTCCTTAAAACACTAGAAACTGAACTTTACAATCCATCAGCAGACTAAAGACGGGGAAGACCACACAAAGATTATTCACCTTAATCAAAAACATGGGACCAGCTCAGTAGCTCATCATCACAGAAAATAGATGAATGAAAACAAAATGGCTGCTCTAGACACAAGGCAATTTCTGAAAATAGGGATGGTGACACTGGAGAAAAAACTGAAGACTCTTGGAGAAAAAATAACTTCATCACAATAAAATAGTAGGTGATGGAATGCACACAGACTGTCTCAATTTCTCTTCTTTGATCTTTGTGACAAATTGTCTCGTGCCCATTCTGCTCCTTTACTGACCATTCAATAGACCATTCATATATTTATCTAGCCCATGTTTTAGTCTACAAAATTCACAAAGCTGCCAGGCTGCCAATTGATAGGATAAGCTGAAAATTTGGGAAATTAGACTGGCCAGCCCTGCTATAAGGCATATAGGGAACAGTCAGACAGCCTTGCTACAGTGATTTTGCCATTTGCTGTGCAGTATAAATCTATAATTATTTACTTTTTAGTGTTTAGTAAATATTTTCTAACTTTGCAATAAAACCCTTCCAACAGAAATAAATTAATAAAATTAAAACTGCATATTTAATTAAAGTACTATATACTAGATTTCTATTTCTTATATTTTCTTGGTCACAACCAGATGAAAACCAGAAAAAGTCATCCTAAAGGACCATCAGCATCTATTTGAAAGTTATTAATTATTGTAAGAAGACTGTGCCTACATACAATGATTTAACACATGCAGCTATGTCTTAGTCTATTTGGACTGCTATAGCAAAACATCTGAGAATGGGCAGCTTATAAACAGCAGACATCTGTTTCTCTGGGAAGTACAAGATCAAGACACAGCCACATTTGGTGACTGGTGAGAGCTTGTTCCTCATAGAAGGCACCATCTTGTTGTGTTCTTACAAGGCAGAGGAGATAACTAGCTCTTTGGGATCTCTTTTATAAGGGCACAAATATCATTCATGAAAGCAAATCCTCATGACCTAATCACCTCCCTAAGATGCCACTTTCTAACAATATCACATTGGAGATTAAGTTTCAATATATGAATTTTGGGGAGACACAAAAGATACATTTACAGATTACTCTGAATCATAACTTTTCATTTAGATCAAATGACTGTTCTTCTAAATTAATTTTGCTTATTTTCATTTTTGTGAGGATTACAAAATATATTCTTAATTGACAAAAATTGTATATATTTGTGGTATAAACCATCATGTTTTTATATATGTATACACTGCAGAACTGCTAACTCAAGCTAATTAACATATACATTACCTCTCATACTCAGATTTTTGGTGTGTTGAGAACACTTAAATCTCCCTAAGTAATTTGTAAGTATACAATATATTCTTATTAACTGTAGTCATTATGTTGTACAATAGATCTCTTGAACTTATTCCTCCTATCAAACTGTCTAATTTTGTGTGCTTTGACAAACATCTCTCCAGTCTCCCCTGCTTTTGGCTTCCAGCCCCTGGTAACCACCATTCTAGTCTCTACTTCTCTAAACTTTATATCTTAACATAAGCTCCATCAAGTTCAAGATACTTTTGTAAGCAACAATCCAGCCATTTAGTTTAGAACTCAGGGCCTTGGGAATTTAATCATGTTAATGCAGTCTTTTTTTTTTGTGGGGGGGGGCATTATTAACTGAGAAAAATGGGTGCCTTTAAACATTTTCTAAAATTAGAAAATAAAAGAAGTCACAAGGAGCCAAATGAGGACTGTAAGGTGGATGCCTAAAATTGCCCTTGTTTGCTGACAGGAATGAGCAGGATCATTGTCATGGTAGAAAAAGACTTTCTGGTGAAGTTTCCCAGCCATTTATCTGCTAATACTTTGGCTAACTATCTCAAAACACTCTCATAATAAGCAGATAGTATCATCTTTTGGCTCTCCAGAAAGTCAACAAGCAAAATTCCTTGAGCATCCCCAAAAACTGTTACCATGACCTTTGCTTTTGACCAGTTCACTTTTGCTTAACTGGACCACTTCCACCTCTTAGTAGCCATTGCTGTGATTGTACTTTGTCTTCAGGATCATATTGGTAAAGATGTGTTTCAACTCCTGTTACAATTCTTTGAAGAAATGCTTCAGGGTCTTGATTCCACTTGTTTAAGATTTCCATTGAAACTTCTGCTCTCTCTTGTTTGCAACTGTTCTGGGAGCAACAGTTTTGGCACCCATTGAGTGGAAAGTTTGCTCAACTTTAATTTTTCAGTCAGAATTGTGTAAGCTGACACAGTTGAGATGCTTATGGTGTTGGCTTTTGTTTCGGTTATTAATTGTCAGTCCTCTACAATTAGGGAATAAATAAGATTAATTTTTTCCTTGAAAATTGATGTGGGTGGTCTGCCTCTGTGGGCTTCATCTTCAACATTGTTTCATTGTCCATTTGTAAACTCCTGATTTCTTTGGAGCATCATCCCCATAACTTTGTAAAGCATCAATCATGTCTTCATTTTTCTACCTAAGTTTCACTATAAATTTGGTGTTTTTTCTTGCTTCAGGTTTTACAGAATTTATGTGGTTCTGATAGGTGCTCTTTTGAAACTGATGTCTTATTCTTTTTAATGCCTCAAATTAGATCCTGTTCATATCCATTATAACAAGGTACTACAAGTTTATTCTAGTGCAAAATACATGAAATCCATGCATAACTTTTTCATAATACACACTTTCCATGACTTTTTGAAGCCCCCTCGTGTAACTGAGGTCATACGGTATTTGTCTTTCTGTGTCTAGTTTATTTTCCCTAACATAAAGTCCGCCAGGTTTATCCATGTTATCACAAATAACAGGGGTTTCTTCTTTTTAAAGTCTGATTATTACCTGATTGTGTATATATACCATATTTTTCTTATTCATTCATCTGTTGATGAACACTTAGATTGATTCTCTTTCCTGGCTATTGTGAATAGTGCTGCATTGAATATGGGAGTGCAGCTATCTCTTTGACATACTGACTTCATTTCCTTAGGATTTATATCCAGAAGTAGGATTGCTGGATCATATGGAAGTTGTAGTTTTAGTTTTTTGAGGAACTGTATATTGTTTTCCATAATGGCTGTATTAATCATGTGAAGATTTTTTCAAGACCTTGCTCACATCAACATTGCTACAATTCCACTGGTCAAAGCAAGTGACATAACCAAGAGTCAGCATGAGAGGGCACTACCGAAAAGCATGGATATAGGAAGACGTAAGAGATTGGATTGCAATCAATATGCATTCCATTATTTATCACTATGATTTTCATTTAATTCTGCAAATAAATTACCAGTAAGTTCCATAATAACCTTCTTCCACATCTACTTACTTTTAGGTCATGTCAGTCAAAATAAAACAACCTAAGAATGACAGAGAGCATGCTGTTCATTCTATTCAACTCCCAAGTTCTTAAATATATGTACCATAAGTTAAACAACAGTTGTTAATGTGCTCCCTCTATTAGCAGAAAATAATTTTATTAACATTTAAGTTATGGCTACTTTATTTCATTTTATCATATGCCTCAAACATAAAATTAATATACTTCAATACTAGTTTGATTTTTTTTTTTTTTTTTTTTGAGACGGAGTCTCGCTCTGTCGCCCAGCCCAGGCTGGAGTGCAGTGGCGCGATCTCGGCTCACTGCAAGCTCCGCCTCCCGGGTTCACGCCATTCTCCTGCCTCAGCCTCCCGAGTAGCTGGGACTACAGGCGCCCACAACCGCGCCCGGCTAATTTTTTGTATTTTTAGTAGAGACGGGGTTTCACCGTGGTCTTGATCTCCTGACCTTGTGATCCGCCCGCCTCGGCCTCCCAAAGTGCTGGGATTACAGGCATGAGCCACCGCGCCCGGCCACTAGTTTGATTTTTTAATCCAATTCAATGATTCAAAATAAAGCTATGGAAGGTCATTCTATCAAAGTTTAAAATCTGACAACAGTGTAAAAACTATCATAGTTTTAGTTAAAATGTTGGCATTGAAGATAGATTACTTATTTTTTCAGTGATAACACACAAAGAAATTTTTGCTGAACATAATTACACTAAAAACAGTATTCTTACCACAATAAGAAATCTATGGAGTAGAAATGGACTCTGAATTTGTTGTGGTGCAAATATAATTCACACTGGGTCCAAATAAATTGCAATATTCTACAAATCAAAATAGAAGACAAATGTGACAAGATTTTTTAATATTTTTATAATTAGAATCACTTTCTTACAAAATTTTGGAGACAAAGCTGATATTGAATTTAAAAAAATAAAAACACTTTAATATGGCAATCAGCATATTTTCTTGGCATTTCTAATGCTTATGATCGAAAAATAACTTTTCATAAATAAGTCCTCTAAACTTTGGGTGCTTTTTTTTTTGCAAAATTACTTGGAAATGTTTAATCATAGTATTTCATAACTGGAGCATCCCAAAATTCAGCTCTTGAAACTTTTAAGGAATAGCTATTATTATAAACAAAACTTACAACTTGAAGCCCACAAGAATGTGCTGAAATGGACTAAGGCAAGAAATTAACTGAACACATCAAATGAAATAATGCATTCTCAAAGAGAGGATAAGATTTAATTTTGAAATTCCATAATTATATTTTAGAATATCTTAATTTGTAAGAACAGTCTTTCGATAAAGTTCTGAATTTTATGATCTTTTTATATTCTGTGTGGGACCTGGTGTAATTTCTAATTTCCAAACATTTATATTCTGTGCAGGACTGAAATATGATTTTAAAGACCTATAATTTTTCAGCATCTAAATTTGGCAAACCATTAAAAAAGCCATAAATTCAGGCAATCTATTTGACAAGTATGGTATTATGAAATTATTTCTTGGATAACGGAACTCTAAATGAAGGGGGGAAAACTCAGTGTCTGTGAAAAACCTTGAACTCAAACACTTTTACATTACAATTCAAAAATACATTCGAATTAAGAATATTTTCAATTAACAAAAAGAGTATTTTCAATTTAGCAAAATTTGTTCTTAACAGACACCTAAGCCCCTTTTGAGGACATTTTTCAATTAAAAATATTGTTATATATATATTAAATGTGTCAATATTTCAAATTAACCATAACAAGCAATTTTTAAGATTCCCAGAAGTTTCATTAAAACTTAAGAATAATAAATTCATATTAAAAAGTTGACTTCAGAAAAATATCAGAAATTTCAGCAGATTAATATACATGAGATGTACCAAG